ACTGTGAATGTTTACATGTTATGTGCAATTAAACCATGGCAACATCTAATGTTTGTGTAGTATTATGTTCAGCAGACTGTCTTCTTCTATGGTTGTGACTTAGATGACGTTCAGAGCACATTTTATGCCCAATTCATGCAAAACTCCACGTAATCCCAAGGGGTTCACATACTTTTTTCTTGCAACTGTAAAGGTGCCTGCACAAACTTGCAGCTGATTTCCAAACCCCTTCTCATCCCAATTCTCATATTGCTCTGATCAGGCTCAATTTTGGCATAGCTTAGTGGTGTTCAATCCTATATGCCAATCCCAGAAATTCCTGTTGGCCGGTCGTTACTTATCTTGCACACTCACAGTATGCCCACAGTCTTCCAGGATGAATAATGCTGGGCATCCTTCAACCTGGAAACCTGAGGACATGTTGTGGCTGAGAAGAGGTACTTCACAGCTTAGCTTGTATAATAGCATCATGTACAGCAGATTTTGATAAAGCCTTTATTGCACCATTCAGGACTAGTTTGGGAAGGTTAAGGGCTAAGTTTACTTTTCTAGCAAAAAATAATAAATGCACAAATTGTGCAGAAAGAAAATGTGCTATTATTATTTTTTCCTGCAGGAGCCTGGAAAGCATTGCACCTGTGATCCATGGATCAGGGGTGCAATGTTTGGCTTTTGCAGAAAAGCTCTTCAGCTTTCAGCCCATACCTCCTATATGGGTTGACGGTTTACAAGTCGGCTTGTGAATGAACTAGAGTGCTCATCCGTGCCCTTGCAGTCCATTCAGAACAAGCTATTAGCCGGGGTAGCTGCCAGTAGTTGTAGTCTATCCATTCACAGGAAGCAGTGATTAAATGAAGTTGGTGGCTGCGGGGAGAAGATCCCCCGCCTGCTGTCACAGGGAGAGGGGGATTGGATGAACTGGTGACATGAGCTAGAACTTGTTTCATGTTCCACCCTTAAAAAGGTGACCTTCTCCTTTAGGTACGAGTCTTTTTAAAAGTGATGACTGTTGGCAAGCTTTGGCAGGACTCAATATTAATTGAAGATTGTTGATGGCATGCTAACAGCTTGAATAAGGTGACAGTCAGCCCTCCAATCCAAATTCTAAGTTTGACATCCCATACTTTAATGATTTTTTTTTTTTTTTTTTTTTAATTTCAAAATGCTGCTTGAAGCTTATCAAAATCTTTAACAAATGCATGCTGTGCACACGGCTCATTTACCTGCTGAAACGCATGTGAGCAAGGAATAGGTCAGCTAATGTTCCTGAATGAGATATCATTAGTAAGCTTTCATAATATCAGTTAATGTGTGTTGTCAGTTACTTTTTTTTTTTAGAGTGAATTGCAGCACCAATTGTTAAAATAAATAAATAAAAAGTTTCCAGCAGGTGGGAACAAGTTACTAATCCAGGGAAGTCTGTTGTAATGGAAGTGCTTTTTTTTTTCTGGATGTCATCAAAGACTTTTCCACTTACAGTTCAGAACTTCTCCAATATTTTTCTTTTCCCTCTAACACTGTTCAACAAATTTTTATTTTTTGCCAGTTTTGGAAACAAAAGGATCCATTTCTTAATGAATTTCACATTCTGAGTTCAAATATAACAATGAAATTTGTCAATTGGCTCTAGTTTTTCTGTAAACGGAAAGTTTTCTACTATAGGCGTAATGACTACATAATGCACAATAATTATATAGATAGATGTCTTTTCACAAATATAAAGCAAGTGATATTGACTACATAACAAAGCCTAAATGGCATAATATATTGCATAGGATTACCAAGAAAAATTATAGCCATAAGCTAAGTTGAATCATTTTAATACTTAGGATTCTCACTAGTTTTGTCTTCAGTTTGTGTCGGTTTTGCTTCTCTTGGCTTTTCTCTTGTATTCGAGGAAAGGGCTATCTCTTACAACTGCACGTGACTACACTTGACTCAACCACGAAGGATTCTGGTGCTTTAGGAATTGGTAGCCCCTCTCCATGAGGAACTGGACGTATTGCCGATGGAATATTTGGATAGTGCACAGATAACTTTTTCTTCTTATTTAGCCCTTTTACAATTGGAGGCACCATACAAAAGTAACAATTACTAACATGATCTGTTGGCTCTCTCCAAATCATTGGCACAGCGAAAGGCATAGATGCCTTTTTTCCATTCAACCATTGCTCCAGTGCCGTCCCACAAGAATTGCAGCATATATGTGGTGCCCAGCTCTTGTCCTGGTCTCCTATCTTGCAGCCAAAATACAAGTTGTAGGCTTTCTTAATCATTCCTGTTATCCTCCTTTTTTTGTGAGATAAAAGTTATTTCACCGCAGATATAGCAGAAATTATCTGCTTTATTCACACAAGTTCGAGGCATTACTGAGTAGCCTATATAAGCATAAAACGAAATGTAAAGACGCTGTCGAACTACAATCAGCTACAGATACTGCAGCTTTTATGCAGTGAAGTGATGCAATTAAAGGCTAATATTGCATCATCTCAGTATACATGCAATTTTCTATTGGTCACCAGTATCAATTGAGCAATATGCAGCTGAAGTTGCATCATAATTTTGAATGGCTTACGTCATTAGATGGGTGAATATATCATGGAAACTAGAGCCAATCAACATTTTTTAGGGTCATTTTCATTTTCAGCACCCCAAAATTATGTAAGATTAGCTAATTTTATGCCCAAAACTTTTTACCTGTTGAACAGTGTAATCATTGCTGCAAAATCAGAAGTCAGACACATGTAAATGTTTACTTTGCACGCTTGTTACTGAATTCTGCATTTTGTGCCCATATTCTGCTCATTGAATCACACCAGTTGATGTGATAGGAACTCGTGGAAGTAATCCGCAGCTCGCTTTTGAATGTTTATTGTGGCTTCTCATTTCAGTTTGCTGCCAGTAAAACCACAATCTGGGAGCATTTCCAGTGGTAGGGTTTAACTACAGATTTTAATGTTGATTATCATGTCAGTGGCTCTTTTGGGAAACTTCTTAGTTTCTTTTTAGGTCAGCTTGCAACTGCTATACGTTTAGCACTGTGCGCAGTATATGGTATAGGGATTATACCTGGATGCAGTATACTCAGAGGCAAAACTGGCCATGAAGAAACCTTCCTGATCATTGCAGCATTGTAGGAGCACTCAGTGAAAATGTTTGGTTTTCTGTCACCAGTTAATTCAAAACTGATGGTAAGGGTAGTTGTTGAGTGGTCACCTAATGGGTTCTTAGGTGGGAGGAGAGGTGCTGACGCATGCTACATGTTACACTAAATATGGGTATAACGTGTAACATGCTACAGAAGGTGAACGTATCCTATAAAACAGGCCATAGATGTTGTTTGTGTTCATTTTTTGTTTAGCCAGCAAGCTGAACAAAAAAAAAAACTGATTCATCCACCCTCTCAAATGAGGTGGATGAAGGAATCTCCCTCACTAAGACGTACTCCGACAGCAGGACTTTCTGATATCAGGACACACTGAACAGCAGCTGCAGCCCCTGATCAACAAAAGTTTTCCAACATTCCCATTCGACAAAAGTCCATCTAACAATTGATTTCAATCAAACAGAGAGGCCTACACATGGATCGAAATTTGGCCATTCCTTGCGGAATCAGACAAATTTCGATTCATCTATGGCCAGCTTAAGAGCATGTACCTGTGAAAATTCAGGACAGATGTTCTCAGATTCTGAACACCGTCTCTGTACTTCTCAGAGGGAAGGTTGCACAGAATCATGTAACAGGTGCTTGTAGTACCACACAGATATTCTGCAAAAGTCCTGCAGAATCGAATGTTTTTTATATTTGCTAAAGGTACACATGCTGAACAGTCTGACTTCAGCAGTGTTGCTGGATAGAATTAGCAGATGTTTGTTGATGTTCCTCTTTACCAATTTATGGATAAACTAAAGAAGAGCCATACATGATACTTTTTTTTTTCCATTCAACCAGCAGGATGAACACATCAAATTTGTGGATGGGGGAATCACAACCGCTGAGAGATTGTATTCTGCAGGCAGGGTGCCTTCCCTGTCGGCAGAATACAATGATCATTATTGCCGGCTGTAGCCGACCGCACTGATTGTTTGGGAAAAACCTGACAGACTGTATGCAAGTCGATTGATTGATTGACTTGTGTGCAACCTGGTAGCCCATACATGAATCGAAATTCGGCCAGTCCATGCTAAACTGGATAGATTTCGATCCATGTATGGCCGTATTAAAGTGGGTGTAAATCCTCAGTGATTCTAAAGATTTAAAAAAAAAAAAAAAACATACTTACCTGCTCTGTGCCCCGATCCTCCTTATTGTTGAGTCCCCCGCCGGCAGTCCTGGCTCCTCTTCCCTGCCGAGTGCCCCCATTAGCAAGCCTCTTGTTATGGGGGCACTAGAGCAGGCTCGCTTTTGAGCCATGCTCCTGTGAATGGATATTATCACTCTTATGCTTACTTGAGCCCCATTGCAATCCAGCACTGTGCATAAAGGTAGCGGCTCTGTCCCTCCTCATAGAGCAGATCAGTATCAGTGAGAGCCATTGGCTCCTGCTGTTGTCAGTCAAACTCGGTGATGTAGGAGCAGGTGGCCGGGCTGTGCCCAGCTGTCTGTTTCTATGGACGCAGGCAGTGGGGCTCTGCAGCGAGCCTGCACAAGTGCCCCATAGGAAGCTGCTTTCTATGGGGGCAGTGGATTTAGAAGAGCTAGAAGCACCAGAGGGGGGACTCCAGAAGAGGAGGATCGGGGCTGCTCTGTGCAAAACCATTGCACAGAGCAGGTAAATATATGACATGTTTATTATTTTAGTTTATTTTAAAAAAACACATACGCACAAAGCTTTACAAACACTTTAAGACACAATTTAAATATAAATTGGTGAATTTCATATTTGTAAAATCCTGACTGACAAATTCTTTGGGTGTCAGTAATGTATATAGTTCTTTAGCCAGAATGGGTTGATATATAACCGATTTTAGTTTACTTGTATTTCTTTTTTTTTTTTCAGTTCATTAATGGTGCTAAAGAAATATGCTATGCCCTCAGGTCAGAAGGCTACTGGGCTGACTTCATAGACCCATCTTCAGGACTGGCAGTAAGTGACTCGTACATCATTTAAAATACAAGTTAAGTAGTGTTCCACTAGGAATGTACTGGCCTAAAGATGGCCTGCCATAATCTCTAAGGACTTGGCTCTTAGCATTTGTCCTTCCAGGCCATACAGAAAATAGAGATTGTTTACTAAATATTGCAGGCATGAGCTGCTGTGTTCACGAAGTACTTGACAGATTATCTGGTTTTGGCTTTAAGTATGTGCATTTTTTATACGTTTCTTTCTTTTATCCTCTTAAAGGCGCAGCATTGGGGGTAAAGCGGACTTTGCAACATAATGCAAGGTTCACATACCCTTTAGATCACCCCCTAATCCCCTATGTAAAGAGTGGAATTAAGCATTAAAATCACACATTATATAAAAAAAATAGTTACTGCTGAACTTCAGACACAAAAACATTCATTTTAAATGTATGATTGCCCTTTTAACAAACACTACATTCGAGTTGTGTGGTACACTGCTGTTCATTGTAACATGTTGTGCAGTGCGTAAACGTTAAGACATGCTGCATTTTTATGCAACACAGCTGTATGGTGTGAACAGGGCACATAGAATACAATTGTTTTTTGTGTGCCCTTGCGTTGAGGCGGCATTGATCAATGCAGATGAATGCAGCTTAATGCACTTGGTTGTGATGAGCCCTTAGGAGGCGTCTGAGTCGATGTTAACTCCTCTTCACATCCAGGTTCCTAAAAAGCAGTTTTAGAATGATCCTGATGCTGCTGTATTTGAGTTGTATCACTTTTAGACATGCAAACATGACCCCCTGTGAACTGACTGTTGGTGGAGAATCTCACAAACCTTCACGGTCCCATCTGCTATAGACACCACTGAATGGGCATTCTTTCTCATCATGTAGGACGCCTAAGTCAAAGTGACATACTGACAAAATAATGGTGACCAGATTACTTGTCAGATACAAGTTTTGAGTTGTTTCATATATATTTTACTGTGCTTTAAATGGCAGATTTGTTTTTTTTTTTTCCACAGATAATTAGATTTTCACATGTTTTACCTGTAACATACATGCTATCTATTTTAATTGGATTTCTCTGGCCCTCTGCACAGTACCTTGCTGTGTGCTGCGTCCATATGGCCCCTGACACTTTATCAGAATTTCACTGGAGACTTGAGTTTTATGCATACCGAATGGCCATAGATGGAGTGAATCTCGGCCAGTTCTGCAGGGATGGCCAAGATTCCATCCATCTATGGGCAGACTGGCTATACCAAAGTCGATCCATCGACCAACTTGGGTACCACCAGCATGTCGGATTTTTAGCATGCGATTATTGCCAGCAGCTATAGCCACTAACGGTAATCACTGTCACGGACTGTGTTGATGAAGGGGAATCGAGCAATTTGCACATTAATATGACCTGCCTAAGCCTGTGAGTAGCTACTAGCCATGCACTTTACTGCTGTACTAGAGCTCACTGCAGCTTCAGGAATGAAGGAAAATAAATGAAAGGAACATTGCTGCAAACTGTTTCCCTTTAAGTTTAAATGCAAAGTGTGAGGCTAACTTCTCACTTGCAAAAAATTCAAATTTGAACCTACGTTTATCATTTGTTTAGGGCACATTAACCACTTCAAGTCCGGACACTTTCACCCCCTTTCTGTCCAGGCCAATTTTCAGCTTTCAGTGCTATCACACTTTGAATGACAATTATTATTATTATACAGTATTTATAAAGTGCCAACAGTTCGCTCAGCGCTGTACATTACAATGGGAGACACAACATGCAACAGTACAATAACAATACAATGCAATACACGAGGGGTTCGAGGGCCCTGCTCCTTGGAGCTTACAATCTAGAAGGGAGGGGATAGTGGTACAGAAGGAAATGGCTGTGGGGGATGGAGTGGTAGGAAGAGTGGAGGAGGTCGGGAATTAGCAGGGGGTGGGGTAGTCTTCCCTGAAGAGGTGGGTTTTCAGGATGTGCCTAAAGGAGAGGAGAGTAGGTGATAGTCTGATGGATTGGGGTAGGGAGTTCCAGAGTATGAGTGACGCCCTGGAGAAGTCCTGGAGGCAGCCATGGGAGGAGGAGACTAGGGAACTAGAGAGAAGGAGGTCTTGCGAGGAGCGGAGAGTGCGTGTAGGGTGGTACTTGGATATTAGGTCAGTGATGTAGTTTGGGGCAGAATGACAATTGCGCGGTCATGCAACAATTAATTTTTTAGCTTTTTTTTTTTAGACAGATAAAACTTTATTTTGGTGGTATTTATTCAACACTGGGATTTTTTTTGCTATATAAATGAAAGTCCAAAAATTGTGAAGAAGTGTTTTTCATATAATATTTTACAAATAATCTTTCTTCCTAAATCTTGACCAAAATGTATTCAGTTGTCTTTTTAGTAAAAAAAAAAAAAAAAATAACCCAAATTAGTTTATAACCAAAAATTATAATTTTTCCAAACACATTTTTACTTTTTTTTTTTTTTATATTTTTTTTTTTTTTTTTTAACATACTGTCACCCTAGCAATAGTGTCACCATAGTGACACTGCACTACTTGTGGGGGGTGATGGAGATTTTTTTTTTTTTTTTACACTAATTGCTTTTACACCCATAAAGGCTGTAAAAGCAATCATTTCTCCTTCTCTCTGGCAGAATTCTTGCAGCCATTGAGAAATACTGTGTGAGCTGTGATTGGTCACAGCTTGTCACATGGTACAAGGCTGTTGTGAATAGCCTTGTACCATGTGACCTCTGTGATCATTCACAGATATCACTAGTAGTAAGCAATGATATCAGCAAGTGACATCTTGCTTACTACTATTCAGGTGATCACTGATTGGCCAATCAGTGATCACATGATCAGGACCTCACCTCTGGACAAAGCGGGCACCGGATCGTGGTGCCGCGCGCACAGGCTGTAAATTTGGGTGCCGTTTATGAACGGCAACCCGCTCCTGCACTGCTCCAGTCCAGCCATTTATGTACATGGGCCAGACAGGAAGTGGTTAAAAAAACACACCACAGATACCCTCCAAGTGGTTTTTTTTGTTTTTGTTTTTTATATTGCACCTCATTGATATTTGGTAAACGTCACTGTAATTGCGCTGTAATCATTGCATTTACAGTGCGCTACCATAGACTTGGATGAAAGGCATCGACGACTCCTGTCACTAGACACATAGCTTTGTTTTTGCCACACAGCAATACGAAGCGATGCAAATGCTATGCGTTTTTCAAGTGTTAACAGCGCTGTCCATGTTCATTGTAGGCTGCTTTGCTTGGCATTCGGGGGGTGGCTAAAATGCTCCCCAAACACCTTTTTATTGGCAGTGCGAACAGAGCCTTAGAGGCAGATTTAGTGCAGCAGAGGCAGTATGTTCCCTCTAAACAGGAAGTTGGCTCCCTGGATTACAGCTGTCCACAATAATGTATGACTGTGCTTATGCTGAAGCTTTAGATTGTAAGCTCCTTTGGAGCAAGGACTGATTGGACCAGTTGTCCCTCACCCCCACCTCTTGTTGCAGTTGTAACAGAATCTACTCTTCTGAGGAAACTTTCTACAAGATTTTGGAGTGTATCTGTAGGATTTTGTGCCCATGTAGCCATTTGAGGTTAGGTACTGATTTTGGATGGGAAGACCTAGCTCACATTAACAGATCCAGTTCATCTCAAGGTAATCAGTAGGGTTGAGGTCAAGACTCTGTGCAGGCCGTGTGTGTGTGTGTGATGCAAAATATTTATTGTATATTAATTTTTTTTGTTATTTTGTTTTTAACAGTTTTTTGGTCCATACACAAATAACACTCTTTATGAAACGGATGAACGCTATCGGCACCTTGGATTCCGGGTGGAGGATCTCGGCTGCTGTAAAGTCATTCGCCATAATGTCTGGGGAACGCACGTTGTAGTAGGAAGTATTTTCACTAATGCACCTCAGGACAGTGCCATCATGAGGAAGTTGGGAGAACACTAGCAGCCTTTGTGGAAGTTCTTTGTCCTGTCATTACCTCTTTACTGATTGGTTATCCTCTTGGCTGGTGATGATGGAAGCCTTAATTTGGACAATAAACTGTGCAGTTATATTTACATTTTATTTATGAAAAGGACCATCCATGCAATCATAACCTGTGTAAATGATGTAACAGGTGACAGTTCTCTTTGTAAAACAATGAAATGTTTCACAATGTCCATTGTGAAGGGTTTTAGGGAAATCCGATCAAATAAATGTTTTACAAAGTGCTTAGTAGTTTTATAATTTTTTGTTGTTACATTTAACATTATGGACCTACAGCACTGCTTCCAGCAGCCAAGTCCTTATGCCGTACGGATCTACATTCCTCACTTCAGTGACCATGAACTTATAGCTTCAGCTGCATTTTTGCTGACAAATGTGCTGCAACCGCGTGCATTGCACGCAGTTACAGGGCTTTTGTGGCACTTCCTCAGACTTGAATGTATAGCGCTAAGAAGGTGGCATCACTATAAAGTCAGGTCAGCTGAGCAAAGCATCACATCCACATTTAACCACTTGCGGCACAATCACATGCCCGGTACATCATTGTACCTTTTAAGTGGTTGTGGGCACCTGCGGGCATCACCCCAGTACCGCTTTTTAGAGCTGACGGTCGTCTCTCCTGTAATAGCAAACAGAGCGGCTAATTAGCTGCTTGATTGCTATTACAAGCAGCAGAAAGGAACGCCACGCCCGCTGCCTTCATTGGCTTGCTCGGTGTCTCCCATCCCACCGGGAGACACAAGCAAACAGTTGGCGCATCCCCCGGCCGCCCAGGGTCCCGAACAAAGCTTGGATCGGCTTTGATCGGGTCTCCATAATGGTAACCCGGAAGTAATGACCTGACATCACTTCCGGTTTACCATTTTCAAACAAACAAAAGCATTTAACCACTTCATGCTTCAAGTCTGGACACTTTTACCCCCTTCCTGTCCAGGCCAATTTTCAGCTTTCAGCGCTGTTGCACTTTGAATGATAATTGCGCGGTCATGCAACACTGTACCCATATGAATTTAACATTTTTTTTTTAGACAGATAAAACTTTATTTTGGTGGTATTTATTCACCACTTGGATTTTTATTTTTTTTGCTATATAAATGAAAATGTCCAAAAATTTTGAAAGTGTTTTTCTTACAAAAATTGTGCAAATAATCTTTCTTCATAAATCTTGGCCAAAATGTATTCAGTTATCTTTTTAGTAAAAAAATAACCCAAATTAGTTTATACCCAAAATTATAATTCTCCTTCTCTCTGGCTGCATTCTTGCAGCCATTGAGAAATAATGTGTGAGCTGTGATTGGTCACAGCTTGTCACATGGTACAAGGCTGTTGTGAATAGCCCTGTACCATGTGATCTCTGTGATCATTCACAGATTTCACACGTAGTAAGCAATGATGTCAGAAGTGACATCTTACTTACTACTGTTCATGTGATCACTGATTGGTCAATCAGTGATCACATGATCAGGACCTCACACAAAGGTCCCGTACAGCGATCAGGGAGCGCACACAATCCAAAATGGTGAGCGCTGTTTATGAACGGCAACCCGCCCCTGCACTGCCACCGTTCGGCCGTTTATATACAGCGGCCGGACGGCAAGTGGTTAAACCATCAATCTTTGGTGTTTTGATTGCTTCTGATGGCAGAGGAGGGATTTGGTCTTATAGACCCCAGAGTCCTCCATAAAGAATACCTGTCACGTGCCTATTGCTGTCACAAGGGATGTTTACATTCCTTGTGATAGTAATAAAAGTGATCAAAGAAAAAAACATTGAAAGCAACAGTGTAAAAATAAAAACAATAAAATAAATTAATAATTAAAAAAGTGCCCCATACATGTGATGCATCAACATGAGCGTCAGTAATTCTAGCACTAGACCTCCTCTATAAATCTAAAGTTCTGACCAGTAAAGGCTTTTAAAGCGCCGCCTATGAATAGTAAGATTTATGTCGTTTGTTGCCGTTGCATGGCATGCTTAACTTTAAAGCGTGACATGTTTGGTATCTATTTACTCAGCATGAAATAATCTTTTATATTTTGCAAAAAATTTAAATTTAAAAAAGTTTTTTTTACAAAAATTGCATTTAAAAAAAACTGCTGCGTAAATACTGTGTGACAAACAACAATTTGCATAACCCACCAATTTATTCTCTAGGGCCTCCGCTTTAAAAAAAAATATGTAAAAGTTTGGGGGTTCTAAGTAGTTTTCTAGCAAAAAAAATGATTGGTACATGCAAACAAAAAAATGGTCTTCCCCCCCCCCCCCCCCCCCCCCCCACTGCCTATTGCAACTTACGGGGGGTGGTTGGTGGGCGGCAGAAATCGGGTCAATCCCCCTTCCCCCCTTCCCCCCCCCCCCCTCATATGTAATCAAGGCCTAAGGCTTCATTCACGTGGGTCAGTGAGGCAGTGTTTAGCTGCACAGGGGTGCGTAGCTGTTCTGTGCATCTCCATTCAGGCCATCTCACTGATGTCAATTGGGACACAGCAGCTGAACGGGAATGCACCGGTGTTCCGTAAGGAAGTAGAAGAAGATGCTTCTAACTGCAGTAAATCCAATAACTACCATTGCCTAGTCACCAAGGCTTGTTTCACCCTTTAGCACCACTGTATTCCCGGCCCCTTTCCTTATTTAACTGGCTCAACTTAGTCATGGAGGAGTGTCCCGCACTTGCTCCGAAACGCATCACAGCCCATTTTGACATCACTTCCGGGTTCGTGCTCCATGTGGTGAGTGTGAGTTCCAGTGGTCCTGGATGAGCAGCGGCCATCTTTACAGCTCCCCCTGCAGCTGCTGGCTGGCATAATGGGTTTTTTTCATAGTAACAGAAGCCCCGCCACGATGACATAATGATGAGCCTGTACTCTTACCGTTGCTGTAAGTGTTTTTAACTGTTTCTATTAAAGTTATTGGATTTACTGCGCTTAGAAGCGCCTTCTTCTATATCCTTTCCACTACAGAGTTGGCTTCACACTCTTAGAAGTGCTGCACAGTGCACAGTCCAGTTTTGGAGTATATCTGTTGTCATCTCTCAGAAGTGCCCTATTAACTCTCCTTTCGCACAGGTGTTCCGTTCATCTCTGTGCAGGAAGTCCCATCCATATCAATTGGGATGCAGCAGCTGGATGGACACAGGCACTGTTCCCAACTTGACATCCATGTGGGTGCATGTCCCTAAGCTCACACTGTTTGCATTTGAAAGCCATGCACCTACACTTAGTTTAGCGTATGTTGGCATTTCACCACTTTGCAAAAAGGCGCAACTTAAAACTTACAAATATTTATGAACTCAACACATTTTAAACTTTTATATTTAGTAGGCATTTAGCAGGAATTTTGCTACATTTACTGTGTTTATATCTGCTAATAATGATTTAATGTATTTTTAGCAAAAATATTGATTTGATAAACATTTGCGCAAATATCGCGGGGCCTCTGTAGCACCTTCTTTTTATTCGACAGGTCATGTGCTTTCAGAAAATATGATTGGGGGGGGGGTCTTTTACAAACTCTGAAAGCTGTAAGTGAACAATGAAAACCTCCAAGTTTTTAGAGAAATTTGGATATTTACATTTTTGCAAAAAAGCGCAAATTAAAATGTACAAATATTTATTAACTCAATACAGGTTAAGTGTTTATATTTAGCAGGAATGTTCTGTGTTTGTATCGGCTAATTATTTTTGTGTATTTCAGCACAAATATTGCTTTGATAAACATTTGTGCATATATCATGGGGCCTTAAAAATCAATATCACCTTATTTTTAGTCTACTGGCCATGTGCTTTTACAAACTCTGAAAGCTGTAAAGGAAAAATAAAAAAGCAATGGAAAAATTGCAAAAATGGTTCGGCCAGCTGGGTTTAAAAGTGGAGCGCAGGGCCTGGCAGCAAAAGGTTAAAAACAAAGAATCCTGAGGAAGCCTTTGAATTCCAGCGTTCCTGTATCGAAAGCCAGCTTGGACCTCACAGCTTCACAAGCAGTGCCTAAAGTTTATCTGAAAGATTTACATTAGACTTTGGAGTTGATTTACTAAAGGCAAATAGACTGTGCACTCTGCAAAGTGACGCTGCTCCAGAGTTTATTAGATGAGGTAAGGCTTTTTTTTTTTTACAAAGAATATCTAATAACATGCAAAAAAAAAAAAGCATTTTTGCATGCACATGATTAGATGATGGAAGTCAGTAGAGATTCTGCTCATTTACTGAACTCTGAAGCAAGTGTACTTGCAGCGTGCTGCACAGTCTATTTGCCTTTAGTAAATCAACTCCTCTGTTGGCAGACTGTTCATTTCAACAACTCTTCCCATATATTCACTAAAGGTGAAGTTGTCATGTACTGCGTTTACTTACACTGTCCTTCAGTTCTGAGTTACTGGCCCAAAACAAGTTTGCACATCAGGAGTTCTGACTTTACCCTGACCCCGTATTATTGCGTTCTTGCCACATCTATGATTTTAAAGTGTGGAGGCCGAAGGTAGCCAGGCAGCCAGCATTTTCAGGAGGTTACCAATGACAGGACACAATTCTATCACTCTAAGATTCCTCTAATGTAGATTTCAGGTTAGGTTCACACTTGTGCGGGACTGCATGTAAATTTCATGTTTTCCCGCACCCGCAGCAAAACCGCGCTGCTGTTAACTGAGGCACTGGGTGCGAGGTTTCTCGTGCTGGGAACTGCATAGCACTATGTGGTTTCCCTGTGGCTGTGATTTTGAAACCGGTTTGCAGGGCCATTATCTGCTTTTTCTGTAGGTACAGGAAACACGGCCTGCAGGAAAATTGGAGTAGTGAGAACTTATCTTTAATAAATGTTTCTAGAGGTATTTAAAGTGATATTACAGGCAATTTTTTTTTTTTTTTTGTTTTCCTTTACTTGTCATACTTACCTGCTGTGTGTAGTGGTTTTGCACAGAGCAGCCCCGATCCTCCTCTTCTCAGGTCCCCTGCCGGCACTCCTGG